GAATTTATGGTCGATTTAGCTTGCTACTTCATTCTAGATCGATGATGATGAGTCTGCAACCATCATGGATGCAACTGTGACACAGTATGGTAATGCACTCGAAGCAATGATTGAAATGCGGCCAACTGTCGGAACGGTTACTCTACTTTTGAAGGTCTCGCGTGTAAAAACGATGTTACTGAAGTTATTTTAATTGTCTTGATTTGCTGCAGATGCTCCAGCCGTATTATGGTAAGCTGGCTGAACATGAACGGAGCAGATCTATCGACGCTACTGTACAAGTTCTTCGTGTATATCTGGATAGAGCTGAAGATATAACTATTGGGGTAGTTCAACTCTGAGATTTGAATGGGTCTGTAGGAGTTGATAATGTTTGAATTCAGATAGCAAGTGACTTTGGACCTCTCTCGTCATTGCTGGCTCGTCTCTCACCTCGTCTTGTCGACTCTTTGGCTCTTGTACGCCATCAGTCTCTTGCTGCTATACATTTCGCGTTTCGCCTTGCCAATGCTTATAAGGTATGGATCTCGCCATATGTCATTTCTTTCCAATCGTGTTTTTTTAATGCTTGGACGCTGACATTTAGGGTCATGGCACTCATACGGACTCAAGCCTATTTCGCATTGAGGAATTCAGCAAAACTTATCTGGACAGTGAAGGACGTTTGGATACGAATGATGCTAAAAAGGCTATCAGAAAGATGGCTGAAGCAAGTTATTTATGTAGTAAATGCTACTTTTTACATTAGAGAAGTAGTTCAGGTTATTGAAGCACGGCTGCCTCAGTGTCAGATACAGACATATCTATCAGCGCTCTTTGAGATGTTAACGGATCGTCAAAGTCAGGTAATAGTTTTTAACGTTGTGGTATCGATATCATGCTTGTTCGTTTTTGGAGTATGTGGTGGATTCAGAATGCATTCTTAGGTAGATGGTCGTTTCCTCTTGTCTAAAATAATCACTTCTAATAGCTTTCTTGAATTTAGTAGAAAAGCTTATTTTCGAAGTCCCTTTCTCAAATGAGTGGAACATTCAGATTGTTTAGGTGTCATCGGCTGCGGCTCAGCTGCTGACCCATTCACTAACTTGTCGTGGAGATACACTGGTTCACGAGGTTGACCCCATACCGTAGCACTTGCGCCAATGATCTTGATTTTTGCAGGCTGACACATTAGTCACAACGATACTCGCTAGATTGCCTGAAGTTCATTCCTGTGTGCAAACCTACACCGATCTTCTTGCAGCCCTTGTTGCTTTTGCTGCGCATCAACAGACAGTTGTTTGTGATGTGATGCTGAGGCAACCCTTGCCCTACTCATTGTGAGAATTGTCTTTTTAAGCGTATTCAGTTGTAAGTGTGATGTTTATGTGCTTAGGCAATTGTTGGACGCGTGGGAATGTGTATCTCGGGAACGTTCTCTCTTCACGCCTACTCTTGATTACCTGTTGGAATTATTGACAGGTGCGCTGGAGCAGCCGTACGATATAATGGATACTGGAGGAGGAAACTCTGTCAAGATTGTTCATGTGGAGCCCTGCCAGTACACAGCAGGTATCACAGAGGTCATCAAGGTTGGTTTATGAATCCTCGCACTTTCGATGAGCTAATTTTTGTTGAACAATCGAGACGAATAAATTAGCAATAGTGCCAACTTCTTTTTCAGAGCGGTGAACCAGATTGGTCTTTAAATGAACGGGTTCCAACTCTTCTTGCGGCATTGTTCCACATGATCTGTAGCGTATCTGATACTCAATTCCCTGTCGTAGTCAAAGAGAACAAAGATGGTGAGCATTTCAACATATACTTAATTTTCAAACAGACAAGTTTTATATGATTTTTAGGAACCAAGCAACCGCTGATCATTACCCCCGAGCTAAGAAGGTCTGCCGAAAAACCGGCTGGGTTGGCCGTTGCAGCGTTGAAAATATTGTTTTCCAAGTAAATACTCCTTTTTGGCAGACTGCTTTTCCACTTTGGCATATTGGTTGTATTGCATTATAGAACTCATACATCAGCAGTTATTGAGGATATGAATCAAGCTCGCGGATGGACTGAGTGCCTCGATCGTGATATGTTCATTGACTCAGTCCGTTCTATTATACATCGATACCAACGGTTTCAAACACTAAAATAGCATCCATGACAGATCACGGTGCTGGTGCGCTCGCTTGTTGAGCATCGCCCAGATTGGATAGAACCATTAGCCAGGGCTGTGATGGATAAGGCTAGCAACGAACGCGAACCAATACGACTTGCAGCAGTCATAGTGTCATCAGCCCTCGTGCGAAAGTAAGTACTGATAATAATTTTCCGGAGAATTGTAAAAGAAATGGTGCGTATTTAGGTCTCCAGATTCCAGCGGAGATTTCAACGAAAAACTACTGGTTGGCTGTATTCGACTACTGGAGAACTCACTTAGCGATCAAAGCCTCCGAATTCGCAAGGTGTTTTCGCTTTTATTGTTTCCCTCTTTAGAAATTCAACTGAAATGTTCCCTGCAACTCTTCTTTATCTTCATAACTTTTATATTCACTTTATTTTAAAGGAGACACGTTCTAATAATACCCTCACTCACCTTTCAGCTTTGCGTACGTGGCTTGGGAGAGTTATCAGAATGCTGCTCTGGAGCAGTTGCTGACAGATTCGCAAGCATGGCTGTTGAAGCCGCTATGGGAGGGTTGGATGACCTAGGAGACAGGAACGACACGGTTTCTGAAATTTTTAGTTTTTCATTGTGTTGTATAGACTGGAATTTATTTCCGGTATCTAAAAATGGCTTGTGACATGAGTTATGTTTTAGGTAGCAATGGAATCCATCATATCATTGAACAAGCTTGTCTCGAAAACTAATGATTCACAATTACATTCTATACTTCGACAAGTGCTGCTGAAAATTCGTCCATGTTTTGAAAAGGTGGTTTTCCCTATCTGGTTTTGGGAGGGAATTGATGCACTTATGTCGTACTTTATTCCGAGTTTTTGAGGAGTCTGGAGCATTACGGGCGGCATCGTTTAGCCTTTTTGGGGAATTGGGCGCCAGAGTTGGAGGAGATGAAGAGTTTATGGGACACCTGCATGCCAACATTGTAGCTATCTTACTCCATCTAAATGACGAAGATGAAGACGTTCGAAAGGTCAACTAATTTGTGGGAATCGTAATCACTTTTTGAAAGATGCTGCCTCTTTGTTTAAGGCCTGTAGTTTGACGCTCAATCAAGTCCATTCCTTATTTGGAGTGGGGACGCTTTCATCAATAGTCGAACGTGAAATGAAAGGAGGACGGCAGCCATTCAGTTACTCCGCAGTTCAGCGTGATCTTGCAAGTGTTTTGGTTTGTTTTCCTTCTTCTGGGTCTGCTACGATAAATAAATATCTCATTTTTTCTTAGGGGGAGAAGAAGCACAATGAACAACGATTACTATCACTCAGTTATCATAAAATGCTTTAGGCACTCTCGTTTCCTGATCGAGTGAATCAGTACGCGTTAACATGCAGCAACTACTTCAAAAGTTCGAATGCACGCATTCGAGCAAACGCTGCTCTTCTAACTGGACACATGCTGGGCGTACTTACTCCACAACTTCGAGCTACCATCAGCAAAGACCTCATCTTCTCTAGTAAGTGCTCTCCATACTTCTAGCATCACTGTTATGGCACAGTCCCACGATTCATTATAAACATTTATTCATAGGATAAGTTGAAGCCTCTTCCTGGGCAAATCGTATGCTTGTTGTTTTACAATCTTATTGCAGACTTTTAAGGAACTGAGAACTTTCCATCGCTATCTTGACTTAAATAATATAAATACAATCCACTCAAAGTTTTTTTCCTATATTTCTTAATGCTTTATTCTTCATTTTGAATTCTCATATTAATAGCTCCTCAAGATTCGCTAAACAACATGATTTTGAGGTAAAGTTCGTCTTGAATGTATCATCTCGAACTACATTTCTTTACGTGCTCCTGTTGTTTCTTTGAGGAGAGTACAGGCTTGAGTTTCGCTCTATAACTTCAAAAGGTATCAGCATCTGTTCCAGGATTTGGTTTCAAAGAAAATTTTGCTAAAAGCGATCTCCTTCATTCATCACGTACACAAAATCGTTCGGATTGACCAGCAATGTACCGAAGTATTTAGTTGTCAGGAAATAATTATGGTCTATGAAAGAACTTTAGGGTCTCTGTAGTCTTAGAGCTTGCCAAATGGAGTGCAAGTGAAGTTACAGTCGTAAAATAAGAACTGAGATTTGGCTGCGGTAATGTTTAAAAATTTGTTAAGGTTTGGTGCTACTACTGAAAGATCCAGAAGACGTGAGTGTACGAATCGCAGCAGCAAAAGCAGTTGGAAGCCTACATGATTTCTCTTGACAACCTTGTTCTC